ATGTAGAACTCATGGTTCTAAGTAGTACCATTCCCTTTACCAAAAAACCTTTGAAGAACCACCTTTTTAAAGTGTGTAGTTACAATGTAAGCAAAGTCATCGAGAGTGGTTTGATGTAAAATACTCCACAGGGAAACCTAGAGAGTCATAAATGTTCACAGTGGAGGTGATAGGAACCAGACGTCTGAAGAGTTTAGCGCCTCTAAAAGCTCCCTCACAGAAAAGTCACTTGAATTTCACAGATGAATAAACTCAGGGTTTTTGCACAATAAATGTGAAATATGTGTGACTTTACTGTAAGGCACTGTTTCAAGACCAGTTTGAGGTGAAGTTTTGGTCTTAAATGTAATTTTTTGTAACGCTTTTTATGGTGGAGGGGTACATACAGGGCGTTATAAGGCAAAATAGTGTTCAAAGAAATTTATTTTTTCAGATTTACCACTGTTTTACCATCATCAACATTACATATAAAAACTCAGAAGCATTTAGGTTCACTGGTGGGTTTGGATACTCAATAAAATGGCTATAGACACTTTGACCCCTGGTTTCTGTCACCACCGCTGTTTCTCTACAATGAACCATTTCTCATGTCAGACCACTCTGAATGACTTTGTTTACATCTCAGTGACTAAAGTATGCAGAAATTTGGGAAAATCGATGGAGTTCTTCTCTAAAAATGAAGTTACAAAACATGCTGTTTACTCACCAGTCCGTACAGTCCATATATAAAAACTAAGTAGCAAAGACTTTGAATTTAGTTTTGAATTTATTATTTTTGTGCTGTCATGAAAAACCTTTACATAAATCTGCATATAGACCTCTGGTCATGCATCATTCCTTAGTTCAAGACATGATATATTCAGAACTCTGTGTCTCAGCAGATTTCTGTATGGAAAAAATGATTTTCGCTGCTCTCATGCCTTGCTAACTGAAGAGTCCCAATCCTGATACATCATTCTCTTTTGTTCCTACATACATTTTTTCCCCTAATATTACTGAATATTTAGAATTATGAGGTTGGTTGCTTAGCAGTCAAAATAAAAATCATAATGCTGGCCTTTAGGGGTGGGAATCTATAGGCACCTCACAATTCGATTCGATTACAAATCAGAGGGCTGCGATGCGATTATAAAACGATTATATACCTATACTATATATCTTGATGCATCTTTTTTTTTTCTATACAGGATTTCTATTTTCTTACTGTGTCAGGACTTGGTACTTTTAAAGCTAAGTATTTGTAATGATCTATAATGCATTTACTTCCAATATATTTTATTAATAAAACAAATGGAAGTGATGTGGCAAGTGAACTGGAAGGCTCTCATTCACTGCTACTGCTTGGAGCACATGAGACGCTGGTGCCACTCATCTGCGATAAAATGCGCAGTTATGGTGAAATAACATCCAGTGGCAGTGGATGTCCACGCAGCACATGTTACAGCCATCCTGCCTGTTTTCTTTAGTGATTTCATAACTTCGGTTTTGGTCTCGTTGTACAGACGGGGAGGATCACTTTGTCAGTAAAACATCTTTGGGTCCTGTGCAACATCGGCACCTCAGTCAGAATTTAAGGTGGAACGGGTAAATTCGAACAAGAAGCTGGAGTGACTTAAAAAAGCGACTTCAGCCTCGTAAAACAGCAGAACTTTGAGAGACATTTTACAAGAAACTGATCTACTTTAGAGGAAAAGTTTTCTGGCGGAGATGGGAGGAAAGCGGCTATAGCTAAAGCTTAAAGCAGAGCGAAGTAAATCTGCGTTTTCGTTTATATTGTTTAGCCTATACTAGGACATTATCACATACTGACACACACTGGACATAAATGTTGTGGCTCCCAAGGTGGTTTGATTTTTGTTGAAAGGAAAATGGCTCTTCTTATCATTTGTGTTGTGACTCCTGACCTAACCTGGCTTTAATGCAGAGGGAGCCGGTCGGATTTCTCACTCATCCTGTAGTGTTTTTGTTATGTGCCGGAACAGACTGACTGGGCGCTGCACTTCCGCACTTCCGAGTTCCTCCTTTTGCGTTCCGTCAACATTACGTTATAAATTAAATATTTAGAAAATCGATTTTTGACATTTGTGAATCGATTCAGAATCGTTCACGTCCGCATCGCGATGCATCTAAGAATCGAGTTTTTTCCCGCACCCCTACTGCCTATGTACTACAAGCAAGCCAACTCTCCTGTGCGTTGGAATGATGTTGCACAAAAGTAGGTCTACTATTAAACATAAACACCGTTATGTAACAATGCCAGCTACTCAGATTGTACCACTGTCAAAGCAACTTAACTACCACGTTTGGCACGTTACTGGTTTGCATGGGGTACTTTGGTGTGGGTACCAGTCTTCTGATGTTAGTTCAATGCACAGCAGTGTCAACTTGCATAGTAATAATGGTATCTGGACTCCTTAATGAGCTCGTAATTCACAGGATCCAGTGATATTTGATGGAAAATGTATGTACGCAAAACATGTTGACTTTGGAACATTTTTGTTTACTAACCTACAGAACAACAACATGACCTTAGAGGTCTATTCAGCCTACAGCAGTTAGCCCCACCCATTCATGTTGTAGTTACAAGGAGTGTTTCAGTCTGGACTGGTTTTTGAATTAGGGGCAATACAGGGCAGCCTATCAGAACAGAGATCATTTACATATATCAGTCTTAAAGACACAGTAACAAAAACAGACAGTGTAAGTCTAAGGGATCAAGAGAAGTTAAAAAATGGTCATGTAAAAATGAATTATGATTATTTTTGGTACATAAACCTACAAAAATCAAACACAAAAACTATTAAATAAAACAAACTTACATTAAGAAATAACATTGGACTAAGGTTTGCATACTAATCATAATAATAATATAATAAAATGCTTCAGTGTTACATCCTACAGTCGTCCATGTTAGTGCAGAAAGTGTAGTCTTGTGCACTTTCCAATTTTACTGTTTGTCAATTTTACTGTTTGTCATGTTTGTTTTTTGTTGAATCTTTTGTCCTCACATAAAAAAATAATGCTTTTGCTCCTCATTCAGTACTGTCTGTAAACTCTCTGCCGACAGTGACGTTCATACCAGATGAGGATCAGCAGGTTCAGGGCCAGATCTTTTAAAATTTTTGTAAAATGGGTTTGATTCAGGATCAGCTGGTGAGAGAGTACCTTGTGACATTTTTACAAAGACCGCAAAGGAAAAAGGAGGTTTTCATGGCCTTTTGAGAAGCCTTCATGCAGCGAAATTTTGATACTCCTTTCTTCTTCATGTTCCCTTTTTTCATAAACTCAAAGGTCATGGGAGCTACAACATTAGCTAAAGAAAATGGTGGAAAATACTTAAAGTCAACCTGAAATTAAAATGGGCTTTTTTGTTTACCTTGATGGTTTATATGCCTGGTCATATTAATCACAATTAAAATACAAAATTCTTGTTTTCTAGTAATCTCCCCTCAAACGTAATGTCTTCTGATTTCTGATTACATTACTGTGCACCAGCAGGCAGGGAAAATGATATAAATCAATATGTTTCACGCCATCCTCCCACCACCTCATATAACACTGAAAGAAAATACTCAACTCTCTCAGAGACCCTCCTTTATACCATGTTTCACACAGAAAAAAAAAACACACTGTATGGAAGGAGTTTGAGTTAATGCGTTATGACTTCCCATGCACATTGTCTTTAAGTGACTGTACTTTGTTACGGTACACAAGTATTGTTGGATTTAAACACTTGTACTTTAATTTCTAAAAGATAAAATGTACTTTTGACCCCTTACTCAAGTTCATATGAATGTAAAACTAATGACTAAAAAAGAATTCCTAATTATGTAGATACTTTCTAAGTGTCATTTTTGAGTAAAATTTAAACACAGCACCCAAACTTTCACTTTAAATGTCGTTTCTCAGTATTTTTTCCACCCCTGGCTACAGGCCTTGAAGAGCACTCAGTCAACAGCATAACTTTTCCCCACACTCCAGCAAACGGATGCTCAATGTACAACACATACTCGAAGTCATGGCGCCCCTGAGGATCGTGCCTAGAGCAAACACAGAAACAAACACACCACTTCCTCAGGTCAAGGGGATATTTACGTCATGCTATTTGTATAGTTTCAAGAGCTAACTCCAGGTTCCTGTTTTATTTACATTAGAAAGCATTAAAACAAAATTACATGTAATTATTTAATCATTCATGTATAAAATTACATGAATGTATATATTTTTGTAATTAGATTAAATGTATATTTCCTTGTGAAATGCACTAGAAAGACGTTATGAAATTTACAGTCAGCCTGACTTTGTGAGGCCTTTTTTCTATTAAATGTTAAAGGGATATTTGATTTCTCTATACTTACACTATTTAGCATTTTCCTAAAGAGAACTCCACCAGTCAACCTACATTATTAATTTAATGAACTGAACTGCACTTCTAATAAGTCGTAATATTACTCCTTCCAAAAGCAGTCACAAATACCGTCTTTAACCACAAGGTGGCAGCAAAGAGGGAAAAAGAGGAAACGTGTTCAATGAACTTCTCTGCTACCAAGTAAGGAAGTTGTGTTCAGATCCAACATCTTGTGTACAAGATCTCTGCATAGCTACAGCTCATTATTGTTTTAAAGAACCATCTCAGAGCACAGATTTTCACTAGACCTTCAAGCATTACACTTGCACAGCTTACAAAACATCCATTTAAAGCAGACGTTTCAGACTGGAAACCTTCTGGGCCAAAGTGCTGCAGAGATTAGCGTTTACCCTCACTACCGCTCCAAATTCCCTTTATGAAGGCCTTGCTAATTAACTGATGAGCTAAATCAGGTGTGTTTGATTAAAGTGTGCTGAAGTCTGCAGTGTTTTTACCCTGTGAGGACTGGAGCCTTGTGCGATTAAAGGCTACTGAACTTTTGACAGAAATGTATCTACAGTAATCACTAAAATGCCCAATTAGATCAAACCTAGTCACTGTAGCTCATGATATGAAATGAAGACCAAAGAAATTTTGTTGGGTGGTGAAAATTTTATTGACTACTGTACATTTACTTGTCCTCTGGCTTGTTGAAGCAGTAGGTCAGACAGCACTTCCCGCAGTAGTGCCTGTCAAAGTGGCTGGCCATGAAAACACCAGCACCACACTCATCAGCGGGGCACTCGCGACGAAGACGGTGGATCTTGCCGTTTTCATCAACCTGATGATACAAGTAATTTAGTTTTGGGAAATTTTTAGCTTAGACAATACATCAAAATGACTGCTGCCGTATCCTACTACTATCACGGGGTGTCCAATCATATCCACAAAGGGCCAGTGTGGCTGCAGGTTTTCATTCCAAACAAGATGAAGTACATCTGACTCCACTTGTTTAATCAGTTGGTCTCAGTCTTCAAAGATTTCATCAGGTGATCTGCTTTGCTGGAGTGAAAACCTGCAGCCACACCGGCACCTTGCGGATAAGGCTGGACACCCGATGCACAGGTTCCAAACTCATGTTGAGCCATGGTCAGATCACTAGTTGGCAAATTCAAGTAGAATTTATTAAATAATATAAAGCTGTTCTCACCTTGTAGTACTTCAGCACAGCAAGCTTGACCTTCTTCCTCTTGTGCTTGTTCTTCTTGGGGGTGGTGTAGGACTTCTTCTTCCTCTTCTTGGCACCACCACGCAGTCTCAGCACCAGGTGAAGGGTGGACTCCTGGACAGAGTTAGTCAATTAGCTTCACGGCTGTACATAGAGAATAATCTATTTGGCTTTTAATATTGCATAGACAAACAGGTTGTCGACTAGTCCCTGTCAAACTTCATCAATCCAACGTAGTATTTAAATTGACAGTTTCTCATTTTCCCCCTTCTCTGTATATTTCTGAGCAATCTGCGCTATAGGGATTGTTCCGTTTACTGCAACAAGGACCAGTGCTAGGCACTAGAATTAACACTTCCCATCTACTATAATAGCTAAACAGTGCCAGTCTAAACACAATAAATAAAAGGACCCATGTGTGTTTGCATATAACAGCCATATCCAGTGCTGAGATGGTAAGCAAATAAGACTCATCCCTTAATACATTTCCTTCATTTCCATAGTTCTGAGGTGTGTATATGTGCCAGTTACTTAAACAAAAAATACTACATGAAAATCCTAAATTATTCATTACAGATATGGGTGCAGAACACAAAATTACATCATCCATCCACACGTGTACAGATGCACAGACAAACAGATTCACAAAAATCGAAGCACTGCTTACCTTCTGGATATTGTAATCAGAGAGAGTGCGTCCATCCTCAAGCTGCTTCCCAGCGAAGATCAACCTCTGCTGGTCAGGAGGGATACCTATATAAAAATGTAACAGTTACAACCCAGAAACAGAGCAACACCATCAAAAATACCTTACAATTCCGCATCAGAATTACAGCTACTAGTAATCAGCCTTACCCTCTTTGTCTTGGATTTTGGCCTTGACATTTTCGATAGTATCTGAAGGCTCAACCTGCACAGAAGAAAAAAGAAATCCATATTTAGGTAACGTTATACGTTATTACAGTGTGCTGACTTGTTCATACCCTATTAATTCACCTTATAAACCTTCTGTTCAAAACTATGGACGCATACCAAAAGTGCTATTATTAATAACATTCATCAGTTAGTTAGCCAACTACAGACGTGACTTTAGACGCAGCTCGTTAACGTGAGCAGCTACAAACCAACCACCTCTCCACTAAAACTGACAAACATGCCTCTGTAAAATTATTTAAAGAGGATACTTCACTTTTTAGCCTTACAGACACTTTCAATGAAGCACTTATTCATGGCTTTTCCTGCTTTAACTGGCAGAGCTGTTTACACGTGCTACATCAGCCAGTCGGCTATTGGTTAGCAACATTGCGCGTTATGAATCCTGTACTTTCTGACAAGTGTTCACAACTACAACTCCAATTTAATGCTTGTTAAAGCAGGTCTGTGCACGACTTGGATCATTTAAAGTGAGCAGTTGTGAAATCTAAAGCTAGCGTGAACGTGACCAGCGCGAGCCAGCGCGTTTCCTCTGCCCACCTCAAGGGTTATAGTCTTCCCCGTGAGGGTTTTGACGAAAATCTGCATTTTGCCGTCGAGTCCACCTGCACACAGAGAAACAGAGACGTTTCGTTCGTATTACAGCTCGACAGACAAGGTGTTTGTGTTCATTTTCTAGCTTAATTTTTATTCCGAATCAGGAGCGCCACTCACCACAAGCCTCTCGCTAATGGCGGATCGTGAGAAGAGGGCTTGAGGAGGGCGCGACGGGGTTTTCTCGCAGCGATCACAGGGACTAGGAGTCCCGCACGAAGCCTGATTTTTAAAGTGAAAACGTAATAAACCACAATTTGTTAAGGGACGACAAACGCGCGGCAAATGTGAAATTTAAATATAGATGTAAAATACATTCGCATTCTTTAACTTATAGAAATGTTCCGAGTCATTTATCTGAAAAGCACTACATTACCCATACGCCTTTGTTCCCATAGTAACCGTACACCGTACAATGTCAGCTAAAACTTTCAGCTCTCCCAATTACAAGAAACAAACGATCGAAACTAAAACGATGGATTTTAATGATAAAGATGTGCCCCTTTTTAGAACTGCCAGTGACATTAATTTCTTGCAATCACTGCATGAGTTCATATCGAGTGAGAAGGAGCGCCTGTGTTGCCCGGCTGAGGCGCCTGATGAGCATCAATATGCTGTTTACAGTGCTGCTTTTGACAAGGTAGATTATTAATATAATGAAGTTAAAGGGGAACTTCACCAACCTTGCAAAATGTCTGTGTAATTAAATTGATAACATTCCAACAAGGTTATTCAGAGTGGTTTGGTGATGGGAACCAGACGTCTGGAGTGTTCAATGCCTCTAAAAGCTTCCTCACATGAATTGGTTATGAATGCGCTGCCTGATACATTGTTTTACAGTAGTTTTGTGATGAAGTTTTGACTTAAAATGTATTTTAATCAATTTATTTCAATGTATGCATGGTGGAGCGATACATGAAGGGTGTTCTAAAGAAAAATAGTCCCCAAAGAAAACTCCTTTTTTTCTCAAATTTACCACTATTTTACCGTCATCAATATTATATATAAAAATTCAAAAGAAGTGTAGGTGATTTTGAATTGTAAACGAAGTATTTGTGTTGTAGACATCGGGACCCATGGTTTCTATCACCACCACTGTAAAGAAAAGTCCCTAAGTTTCTCTACAATTAACCATTTTTCATCAAACCACTCTAGATTACTTTTTTTATATTTATATATTATCTTTTATATATGTTTTATATCTCAACCACTGAATTATGCAGACATTTTGAAAAATTCCCTTCTAAGGCAGGGGTGGGTAGTGGCCTAAACTTATGACATTCTCAAACAAAGGTATTGTTACTTTGTAAGATGTAAACAAAGATATTCAGTGTGGTTTGATATGAAAGCAAAAAAAAATTGTTTTGCATTGCGAGTCTGCCTGCATGTACCTCTTGATCATGAATGATTTAAAATATGTATATTTTTCTTCAGAACCTGATCTCAAAAGTACCGTAAAGCAATGTTTCAGGCATCATATTTGTTACCATTTCATGTAATGACTTACTGTGAGGGAGTTTTTAGAGGCATAACCTCTATAACCTCATAAACTATTTGGATGTCTGGTTTCCATCACCACCACTGTAAAATTCTGACTGATTAGTTTAGTTGATTAGAATTTAATTGTAGAAACTGTTCGAAATCGGTGTAGTTCCCTTTGACATGAAGTTTAAAAAGCCCTAAAAGCTGCTGTAAAAATGTAAAAAGCTCTTAAAACTGCAAAAGCTACCTCATAGAAAGTTATTACACAAAACGATTCTGCCCAGTGTCTGAGAAATTGTTGTAAGCTACAATAGTTTTGAGATAAGGCCTTAATCTAATGTTTTTGTTGTAAACTACAGTAGTTTTCAGATGAGGCCTTAATCTAAAGTTTTTGTTAGGTAATTTTCTGCTCTTTTTAGGATGCTTTTCATCTGTAATAAAATGCTAAATCTCAAAAGTCAATTACACAGCATTATAGATGCTGTCACCAACAAAACACAATATTAAACACTAAAAGGAACTAGTAACTAAATGTTAACCAAATCTGAGTAACGGACTAAACAGTAGATTCCTTTCCTCCCAAACACACAAGAGTAAAATAAAAATAATTTATGATCCATCAAAACTGCACTTGAGTACATACTCCTGTCACTGAGTACTATGAGAAATCTCTGTGTATTAACCTGATTATTTCCCTAATTTAGGTAATTGACTATGCTACAGCGTACAAACCGATTCTTACAGCCATCAAGAAAGAATATGACGAGTTCATTGCTGCTGTGAAAACAAATGACCACAAGGCCAAGCTTGCTCATGGAAAACTGAAGGCCATACTAGCACAACCCACTTCCCTGATGTACTGTCAGAAGAGAGCTGCCCAACTACTAGAGAGGTAAAAACACCACACAATCAAAGCTAAGATCAGAGGTGGGTAGGTTTAAGGTAGCAGTTGTTACCTTAATGAAATAATGGCCCGAGTAAAAGTAAAATAGCTATTAAAACGAAATAAAATAACAGGCCCAAAACTACACAAGTTCTGAGTTATCCACCTGTTAGTATAGGAACTGAAGTTTGTTAGACTATTCTATTTTTGGAGTTCTTTTGGTCTGAAGTGCTAAAGTTTGAAAGTAAGAGGTGTGAGAATCAGCAAAGCAAACTGGGTTCTGAACCAACTGAACAGAATGAAATAAACCCCAAAAAGGAATAAAGAACTAAAATTGAAGGACTACAGTGGAACTGAGGAAAACATAGAAGCATCATAAACATACTTAGTATGTATTAAGTATTAAGTATTACGATGATGAAAGTACTGAAATACAAATTTATTGAAATTTTACTGAGTAAAACTAGTCACTACTTACCTCTGGTTAATACCAGACATACTTTCCTCATGTTTGGATGACCGGGACAGCTTGCCCTGATGATGGTTTTCATGGTGTCCACTTCCATCTAGCCTAGTATTAAGTTGCTTTTTGTGAGAAGGTAGAATTTATTTCCTGTTCTTTCAGGATTGCTGTCATTCAGAGAGACACTGCTGAGGTCCAAGCTAAGACAAAAAGGCTTCAGGAGTGCATAAAAAATCACAGAGATTCACAACAACTGGAGGCCTTAGATGACCAGGTACAGATTCCTGTGGGACAGATACCAGGTACGCTAACTGGTATTCACTCAGTTTAAAAGATAGCCTCTTTGGTTTGGACTACTTTCAGAAGTGCAGGCAGCCATGGTAAAGAAAGGCCTTCAACCACAGCTGTAGGGATCGTGTCACTCAAAGCAAGGATCACAGACTAAAATTACCTGAGAGCCATGAGGCAAGTGGACTTCTGCAAGGGGGAAGAACATCAGGACAATGGCTACATAACATATATGCTTACTTAAGAGCTTCTTAGTGAATGTTTATTAGTGTCTCTTGTCACAACAAACCAGCCATTAATAGCCCTGATGAATTTACACTGTATGGCCAAAGGTATGTGGACACCCCTCCTGATTATTGAGTTCAGTGGCATTCCTGCCTGAACAAGGCGGAGTTATCTGCTGTGCTACGCAATCATTATCTTATGTTGACAAAGAAGAGTGGATAATTCTGCGTTCTCAGAGGATTTGTCTGATAATTATGTGCATTTCTAAATTGTGACATGCAGTATCCACTGCTATGTTGTGAATGCCTCATTCGATCTCAATGTGCAGTGTCCAGGCTGCTTTAGATTTTGATTATAATGATTCATCTTTCATGCAGTGCTTTATTTTTGCTTGTATCAATGTAAGCACCCACCTAGGTTGATTTTATACAGCTTCTGTTAGGCAGCACGCTGCAGTGTCTGGTAGGGATGCAAATCTGCCTGTCAAATGTAAATATTTAGCCACAGATAAAAGGTTTGCAGGTTGGATATAAGGATAAATTGTAAACATGTGACGGGTCCTATAAGGCTGCCTTACATTCTGGATGTGGTGCACTGGCTGGTAGTTTGAGACCCCTGATTTAAAATTTATTATGGTTTCAGTGGTTCAGCTACTAACACTAAAATATGTGCTAAATCTGGGTAAAATGTGGGGTGCTGCAAGTGAAATTGTCAAGCTTTTCTTAACTCTCACAATAATAACAAGTTAACCCCAGTTATATGGCTTAAATGTGATTGCCTGTAAATATTGACAATTCACCCCTTTGAAATTGGCCAGTTATCAAGAACATTTAGCAAAAAATATTGATTTATATTTGCCAACTACAACATGGTGGGACATTTTTATTTAGATATAGATATACTTTATATAGAGGTGGTACAATACCACATTTTCTTTCCAGTATCAATATTGAAACACTGAGTAGCATTCGATACAGATCCAATATTTTTTTCTTCTACCCTTTATTAAGGTATTTTTTTATTGAAGCTTTTAAGAAGGACATCTAAACGTAGGCTATCATGCTAAAACTCTACTACCCCGCAGGACGAAAAACACAGCTAACAACATCACATCACACAATCTGAGTGTGTGCTATATAAGGATAGATATGTTACAGCATGGGATCACATTCATTCTTTTTTCCCTGACCCAGCATTTTCTGCTGAAATTGACCCAATACTGGTGCCATTTATAATTAGATAATACATCAGTAGATGTTAAATGATAAATGTTTTGTCAGCCAAAATCTGATGTGGATGTAAGTAAACCTGCTGCATCTGATTAATAATTTCATATGTTATATGATGGCGTAAGGCCGAGGTTTCCAATCTTATCCACAAAGGGCCATTCTGGCCTCAGATATTCATACAGTCTCCTGATTAGTTGTTTGAAGACTGAGATTAAGTGATTTAACAAGAGGTATGAGGTATGCTCCAACTTTTTTGGAATAAAAAACCTGCAGCCGCATCGGCCCTTTGCAGATAAGATTGTCCACCCCTGACAAAATTTAATTCTTAGTTCCTTAGTTTAATTTAGTTCCTTATAGTCGGGATTTCATACAGATTTTAAAAGTGGTAAGCAAAAGGTCTAAGTGAAAATTTCAGAATAAAAATGTTAATTTCACTTAATTTTTCACTTAATTTCACTTAATTAATCTAAGTATAACACAAGCTGTATATTGTTCAGCTTCAGTGTAATATCTCACCGTTCTTTGCTTTCAGGCCTTAAATTTGAAGAGTCTTTGAATCCAGAAGCCCTGGATGAGCATCTGAAGTTTTTGAAGCAGAAGAGAGCTGATCTTCTGAGTAAGAAAAAGAGCCAGTATGTGCCTGTGCAGGTGAAACATGAGCTGGAAATCAAGATGAAGACCACCCTGAACCAAAGAGATGAACTTGGCTTAGAGAATAACACACTGCAGCTTTGGTGAGAATGTTTTCACTTTCCTGAAAACCCAATTTGGAATTGTACTTTTTTATTTCCAGTAACACTCACTGACAATGTGTTAAAAACACATACTTTACAATTGCAGATTGTAGTCAATCTTTTTCTCTGCATAGTTTATTATCCCTCTTTGATGCTGTTCTTCAGTGGTCAGGACCCTCACAGAGGTCCACAGCTGAGCAGATATTATTTGAGCAGTGGATCATTCTTAGAACTGCAGTGACACAACTATTTGTTAATCTTGATAGTGATAATTGCCTTAGATACTGATATTGTGGAAGCTGCTATATGCAAATGAGCCCTCTTATAATATTCATTGCTATGAGCACTTCAGATGTTTTGTCCTTTTGAGTGTTCTGATCAATGTAGGCAAGTTCCAACAAAAATGTATCATTTTGGTCAAAATGAAGCAGGCATGTCACATAAAGGATTCTCCAGTGTGTTTTTAATATATTTAAGGCATATGGCTTTCACAGTATGAAGCAATGTATTTGCAGCATGTGTTTTGTCCATGTCATTCAGCCCTAGTACTTGCTTTTAAGTAGTGTGAGTCATGCTTTAGAAGTGTATGGCAATTTGTGTCTCATCTCAAACAGAATGGTTGTTGTCTATAGTTGTAAACAGTTGACTTTTCTGAATGAGGCTATCAGCTCTTGGGAAAAATCAGCAAGCCGCCTTCCTCTGCTCGAGTTCCTCGGCTCTGAATTGGAGCGCGTCTCAGAAATGAAAGGTGCTCTTTGTTTAGCTCCAACGCATAACAGATTATGGTAGAAATTCTGCTCTCTGTTTGACCTGCTCTCTTGAAAGCTAAATGTATTTTATTTTATTGCAGTCTGTGAAGCCGACAGCTATGGCATCAACAAAGACGTGTTTGAAGAGGACGATCCTTGCAAAGTCCACGAGTCAGAGCTGTTGATGGATTACATTGAAAGGTTTCCAAATCACATAAAACACAGAAATGTTCTTTCCGTTTTCATGCTTTATTGATGAAACCCATACAAGAATGTTATATTATGCGTATTTTTTTTTTATATAACATATTACCAAAATTTAAGTGTGTTTCAGGATTTATGTGCTACATTTAAAATGTGATCTACACTGTTAAAATGTTTAAGAGAGTGTTAAACTTACAGAAGTAGCATACTTTAATTATAAATGTTAGCCAGTGTACATTCAACATGACAAAAGCAAGTTTTCTAGTTATAATTACATACTGATAGGTGCAGTTGGATCTCCATTTCACATTTATTAAAAGTATATGTTGTGTCAATACATTCAAAGCATTATATTGATAATGTGGTGCTGTGTTTTTCGTCACAGGTTCTCAAATCTTTTTGAAGCAGGTGAATATGAGGCTGCTGCGTATCATGCTGCCAAGTCCCCTCGTGGAGTCCTGAGGAACATGGAGACTATGGAGCGGTTCAAATGTATTTTCCTCTCTCATGTTTTGTTTCAGAGTTGTGGGTTGGCGATAAGGTGCGCTAACATTTCATCACTTTCTTTCGCAGCTGTTACCATGTATGAGGGAGAGCTTCCTCCTGTGCTGCTCTTCTTCCAGGCCCTGATGATCTCAGTCCAGCCTGGGAAACACCTGCCAGGACAAGTATTGTCTTTGGAGGGTGTCCGGTGTGCCCTGCAGCATGGCTACATCCAGCTGGTTACTTTCTGGGTCACCCAGCACAGGTAACAGGTCTCACAACCGAGGGGACATTTTTAGTAAATCAAAAAAGTAATTTAGGCTTATTGCCAGGGATGCAGCCATGCGGCTTTTTCTCTCTTGATGCTCATTCCGGCCAATACTGAACACACGGTTCATAGTAGCACAGTACATAAAACATAAATACAAAATGTTAAAGAATAACGTCCTAGAAGGTTTACACAATTGTATTGTTAGTATTTTATAATGACTACGACTAAGAAATAGTATCGAATGTGGATCACTCAGATCAGATTTGGAACTAAAATGTATTTTTTAATCTGTTTATGGCAGACAGATAAATGCAGGATGTTACAAGGCAAAAGAAAACTTTTTTTATTGACAACTATTTTACCATTATCAACATTACATATTAAAACTGGTTCACTGGTGGTTTTGGATAGTAAATAAATTCACTATATTTGCATTTACTACCACTGTAAAGGACTCAGGGTCAGTTTCTCTACAGTGCACCATTTCACATCAAACCATTCTAAATTACTTTGTTTACGTCTGAATGACTGAATTATACATAAATGTTGTTAAATTGGTGGAATTCCACTTTAAGAACTCTGGGATGTCTGAACTCTACAGACCACCAGAGGGCAGTTATTGCAAAGTGAACATGCCAGAGCACTGGTGACAATGATTTATGCAATAGCCAATAGTCTTTTTCTGTTTAGGTTAGTAACGCATAAAAAGACATTTGGCTGTTGCTTAAACCACTTTCACCAGTGGTCTGGCACGTTCACCAGAAGATGTGTGTTCACTTACTGTTAAATGTTATCACCACTTTTACTTTACAATTGCACATTTTTGCACATTTTAGTACTGTGCAAAAGTCAGAGACCACCCTTCATTTATTTAATTTCCAGTTAAAACAACCACTGAGTACTTATTTATTCATTTATTCAGTTATTCATTTTTCAAGATATATTTCTTCTATATTTGTCTGATATAAGATGTAAGATAACCATTTGAATATGGAAGGGGAAAGTCAAAGGAAAAAAACAGGAGTTTCCAAAACTGGAGTTTGAAAAACTTAAGAAACAAAGAAAATTGGACTCCCGTAAGCATGAATGCATAAACGGATAAATAGTGCTTGAAGCTTTCATCTTTGAGAGAGAGGAGAAAATCAAGCTCCACTCTTGCTTAAGATCAGAAAAAATCCACAGATGTTTCTGTTCATCCTTCCACTGTGAGAAGACAACTCAACACTATGAGGATTGGGATTACTTGGATCATGAGAAACAGAAAATGAAACTTCTGAACTTTGGAAGTATAGAAAAATATCCCTGCAGATTTCTATGAAAACCTCAAAGCAATTTTCTTGAAAATAAAGGCAAAGAGTGGACTAAATACTGAAGTTTAATATTATATTTAGTTGTTGATACTTCTGTGTAATTTTCGGAGTTTTTTTATCTTATGTTGAAAAATGAATAACTTATATATAATGGCTGTTTTGACGGGAAATGAAATAAATGAAGGGTGGTCTCGGACTTTCGCACAATACTGTGTTTGTTGGTGTATATTCGGGTTGATGAGTCTGAATAAATGTAATATGATATAATATTTTTCAAATAATGCTATGAAAGTTTGAATAATGATTGCTTGACATTCCTATCCTTTCTTCTTCTCATAACCCCAAGTGTTCGCCTAATGTGGTTGTCCTTTGCTCACTCTGTAGGGGTCTGGACACAGATTTTTGTTAAACTGCTTTGTGATGGGATTTGTTGCAAAATGCTCTACCCAAAACATTTTAATTTAATGAGATGATGTTTTCCAGAAAATATTGAGCTCTGTGGTTTCTGTTCACTGCAGGCTGATGTTATGATGCTGTTTGGTTTTCTGAAAATCTGAAAAAAGGCCCAAAAGAACAACACGTTAGAATATACTTACTGAGCTACACCCATAGGTTGACGTACAGTGAAGAATTAGGGGATGTGATCTGTAGCCATGGAGATGAGGACCCACGCATTGCAGACACTTGTTTGGCCCTGGCCCACATTGTTTACACGGCCTGCGGCGTGCTGAGGAAGGCAGCACTCAGCATGTGCAGACGAGGGCTGACCAGCGGTGCCTTAGAATTAATTTACAAGAACAGAGACTTCACAGTAGGTGAGACCAGGCACATCACGCACTACTGTCTACTGTTATAACACACTCATGACTGGTTTCTTAGCAGATTTCGATATATTTACACTGCCTGTCACTGCCATGTGTATGTTGTGCCTGCAGACTAGTACAAAAATATAGCAGGATTGAATCCTATGTAGATGTTATTAGTTGAAATTTCCTGTTTCTTGTTGTTTGTGCAGAAGACTGCATGTTTGTGCTGAGAGGGTGCCCCCGTTTAGATCTGATGCAGGATTTCACTCAGCTGTATGAGGGCAAGCCAGCACTGCTGTCTGTTGGCTTCGTCTGCCACTCCCTCCTCAAATCTGACCTAGAGGGCCTGGCCTTCCAGCTACTACAGGAGATTTATGCCGGTGGGCAAGGTTAGCATATACATACAGTACTGTGCAAAAGTAAGAGACCACCACTCAAAAGGCTGTTATATACTTAAATAAAAAAGTTACTCATTTTTCATGAACAAAAATATATTAATAATAGTAATCTTGATTTATATAGCACTTTTCATGCCAGTGGCAGCTTAAAGTGCTTTACAGACAGGTGATAATGATAATGACAATGAGTACTAATTGAAAATCATATAAGAAAATGACACAGGTGAAATTAAAAAGATAAATACAGCAATACATACATACGACTGAACAGTAAACAACACAGAAGCCTCTAATTTTTCACTATGCAGCCTGTCTACCCTTGCCTTTTATTATCACTTCTGTTATTTTCAGGAAAATTGCTTTTCGTCTTTAATGAAATCTGGGGATATCTAGGGATATTTTTCCACACCTCCAAAGTTCAGTCTTAGGAGTTGCTTGCATTCTGCTTCTCATGATCCAAGTAATCCCAAATTCAGTGATGTTGAGGTCTGGACTGGGGAGGCCAGTCACCAGCTTCTTTGTTTGATTTGCAAACTTTCCGGATCACTGATCTCATTAGAAATATCTCCTAAAAAATGAATAGCTTGCACTTAATGGCTGGAAATTAAATGAAAGGTTAAACAGAGGTTGGTCTTTTGCACACTACTAAAGATATACTAGCTGGTATATTTTATTTCAACTCTGCCTAATCCAGATCTCTCTCCGTGGGCTAAAGATCATTTTGATGTAACTCTGAGAAGGGCTGTGCAACATGGGGAAAATATTATACTGTGATTGCATTGCTGCATATTAAAATTTCAATATCTCTTTCAATATGAAAACACTAACCGAACCCTTATCTGAAATGCCTGTGGTTTTATTACTGTAGCCTTGCAATATCAGCATCACAAAGACCACTATTGCTGTCATAACTAACAGATGGCATATCATGCAGCTCTAATCTTGAGTGTACATGTAAACACTAGTCCTGGTACAACAGCATTCAAGTATAATGTATATTGGCCCTTTGTCCATGATGAGTAATTGTCATCAAATCTCGCTCTGTAACTGGACATAGGTGCCCTGGAGAAGACCATCCTAGATGACGTCATGTGCAGTACGGAGAGCTGGAGTGAGATTGCAACTCGCTGTGAGCAGAGGGGGCGGCATCAGCTGGCACAGGAGATTATTTCCACCCTTCTGTCCCAGCCTGGAGCCGTGTGCCTCTCCCAAGAGCAAGACAGTGCCAAGCTGATGGAGCATGTGTTCATGTAGGGAGTCAGCCACAAGGTGGAGCTCAAGATACAGACCCAGTTTAAAATATAAAAACAGAACGTGTCTGTTTAGTCATTATTTCGCAGAGGCTAGTTATAGTAATAATTTGGACAAAAATATAATTTACACTCTTTTCCCCTTATTCTAGATGTAAAAAAATAGGCAAAGGTGCAGATAAACAGGCTTCAAGATGGTTTCCACTACTGGTTTTATAACAGACTTCTGTCCATTTTTTTACTGTATGTCATATAATGTCAGAAACCACATAAGCAAGTCTTTTTGAGACTGTTTAACACCTCAGTATTTGCCTTAGACACTCAATCAAGTTGTCTCAAAAAGACCTGGTTACTGGGTTTCTGACACTTTGTGTATGATGTTTGTTACTTTTGTTTTGTAAATGTGCTACAAAACTAAAGCAGAAAACTTCACACCCAAACATGTCTTGGCTCAATTTGAGGTGAAAGGGAAAACTGAATAAATTTGCCTTTTAGCCAAACATCACTTTAATTTCCTTTGGCATTCCTCTGTTTGATTAGAACACAATTTCCATTGCTGCAGACTACAGTTTCCTGTTAGTAACAGAGTTATTTGTGAAGTTTTTATGGTGTAACTGTCACATCGTTTTCCCATTTGTGCCAGCATCAGTTTTTGAATTTAAAGATCCGTCTCACCCTGCTGGCAGGTCACTGTCTGTCTTTGTGTCGTTATGTCACCGCGCTGGGAGGACGCAGCAGTGGGGAGAAGAGGCCAGCCTTGTGACGGCCCACGCACACAGTGGGCTCTTTGTTGCCGAGCTGAGCCACTATGGTAACAAGGCACATGAAAGCAAAAGGCGCCCCCTCAATCCACAAACAACACCCACATTCACTAATCACGGTCTCCCAGCACCCCCAAACACCAGTCCTAACCATCCCCTCTAAATGCACTGTATAGGCCTTCTCTTAGAGCCAGCAGCATGATGTTGATTTCTGATTAATAATGAAAGGTGATCATTGCTTATTGACCATAAAGCTGACCATATTCTGAGATTTTTATAGTAAAGAAACCAAAAGGAATGAAAATAACCATTCAGACCAGAGGAGTTATTCTTGCTTCAGCCTATGGGGCTGCTCATTACAACAAATTATCAAGAGAAGAAAATACATAAAAAATAATTTTTAAATAGGATAAGACTAGTGCATTTCCTAAAGAAAATGCAGCTTCAGCAATTGCCTACTCGGGTCTTGCAAGATGGTTGCTATGGTATTTTAAGTAATTGTTACATGGTTACCAGGATGTTGCTAGGGGATTGCTAGGTGGTTGCTGTAATATTGTAGGTCTGGTGTTGCTAGGGTGTTGTGAAGTATTCAAAGTGGTTGCTAGTGTTACTAGGTGGTTACCTTAGTGTTTCAAGTGGTTGCTAGGGTGGATCTAGGCAGTTGCTGTGTATTCTCAGTTGGTTGCTAGGGTGTTGCTAAGTGGTCCTTGTTATACCAGGTGGTTAATATATACTAGGGGGTTAATATGATATCTCTAATGGTTGCTAGGTGGCTGTTGTGGTATTGCTATGTGGTTGCTGTGGTATCCCAGGTAGTTGCTATGATATCCCAGATGGTTGATAGGGTGTTGCTAGTGCCAAACTTACATTAGAAGGATGTACAAGCTTTTGCACAACCATTTTTTTAGTATCACGGCATTCGTTCATATGGGAAAAATATTCTGTCTCTAAAGGGCCCACAGCCTACATTTTTTTGCGTTTTATTTGTTTCCCTAAGTTCCACACATGATGTTTATGTGAATTTGTTTACCAAAACCAGTTGTAATTCATTTTTCCATGACCAGTTTCCAATCTTCCATTATCCTTTAGAATTAAACAGACTGTTTTTGTTACTGTGCCTTTAAGATGTAGATATGTAAATGAGTTTTGTTCTAATTGGCTGCCCTGTATTGTGGCTCATTCAAAAAGCAACTCAAACTAAAAGAGTCCTTATAGCTTCAGCATGAATGGGTGAATGGGAGAGGGTTAACTGCTGTAGGCTGAATAGGTGGATATGGAAATGTGTTGTTTTTTGTGATATCACAGACATCATAGTTGTGGGTTGTTTTAGAAGCTTTATTTTCATATATAGACCATATGTACAGGGAAGTGAATGGCAAGTTTTGAAAATTCAACTGTGTTAACATAAAAAAAGAGTAAACAGAAGAAAGGTATAAATTCGATAACAATAACATTGTAACATTGCGCAATCACTAATAATAATCCATGTGTGATTATTGTTTATTGTGCAGTGTTTTGTTTATGTAATGGGTGTCATTGGTTTGCAAATTAGTTCATAATAAGCATCAGATCAGCTTTGAAAACATGTAAATATTCTTTTCTGCATGTGTGTTTGTGCTTTGTCAAACTGGACATGCTGTGGGTGCCTGGCTTCTGTTTAGACTATCGGTCTGCTCAGGATTTCCTCTGCAGGGGGGGATGGGACAGAAAGAGCAATTGTACAAGATGCTGATAAATGAGGAAAGGGGTGTGTGTGCGTGTGCTGCCTCAGCTCCTGGCAGTTCAGCCCGGCGCGGTTGTTATTGATCTTCTACAGCAAGGGGAGCTGGGCTGAGCCTGAAGCTGCTGCTAGGTCAGTGTGTTACACAGTGCAGCGTCACTGCCCCCTCACCTCAGCTCACATAGCGCTCCCTGGCCCGTGGTCCAGCCCAGTACACACACTGAGAGCCGCTGTGTCATCGCTTGCTTGTTTTCCTCACTGCGGCTCTCATTTCAGTTCGATGTACTTTGTGCTCCTAGCATTTGATAGCACAGGCTGTTCTTTATGCTAGCCCTGTCTTCACTTACAGAAATAAAATCAAACTCTGCCCCCTTTTTTTCATTACTCTAAATTTGGTCAACCCCCCCAAGACATTTGCTGTCTGAAGTTGGCTTTCTTAGTTTTGTACTGGAGCTTCGGGGCTAGTAGCCAACAAGAAAAGGAATCTAGTCTTATGCTACTTAACACTGTGTAAACCGTAGGTCAAAATCATCACACACATGCCATGTGAAGTTGTTAAGCAATTTAACGTGACGACAGCAGGCTTCACGGTCACTGCTGTTTTTAGCTATGCATCCTGCTTTTGAATATTTGTAGACTGTCATGCATCATTAGAAACCACATGATCAAGTAAGTTTATGTTAGGTTATTTAATGCAGTTTGAGGCAAGGGCCTAAAGATATAGCCCTCTATTGCATGGTGTTGCCATATGGCAACAATTACTTTATCTAAATTTTACTGAACGGCAATAATATGAAATCCATGTTTTACTGTTTATTTGTGGGAGAAAAAAAGGCCTTTTAGTTTGAAAGGCCAAATACACATGATCAGGAAATCTTGTTTGTATTCCATGAACACTTGACACTGAAAAGGACCTGACCTCGTGATTCTAAGGCTTATTGATTGTTTAATATTTCGGTAAAATTCCTCCAAGAATTTAACTTCTAATTTTCATCATAAAAAGCTGTTTAGATAAGTTTTTTTTTTTTTTCATAAAATGGTAAAATTAATTTGTTGCCATATGGCAACTATATGCGAATGTGATCTGTATGCATTCAACCTACTGGACTGTAATTGACTTACATAGCACTAGGCTACTCTAAAGCTATGTTTACAACTTTTGATTACATTTAAAAAGGAAAAAAATTGTAATATTATGTATAATTATATTCTATAATTATATATAACAGAAGGAATTGTGAAATCCCCCCCCCCAGTTTAATTTTTTTTCCTAATATTTAAACAGTTTTAAATAATAAAAACAGTTTTAAAGCATTTGTATCATCATGTTGAGGTAATAATTCATGCAAAAGAGAGGTGTGGCTAATGGTTTTTGTTACTTGTTACATTAGCTATGTAGCTCTTGTGCAAAACTAAAGAACTCCAAACATGTGTTGGCTGACTGACTCCTTTTAAGGAAGGGGAAAAAGAGTACATTTTGGTCAAACTATTAATTTTGTTTAGTGGAAAATGTTGAATTGCTCACAGTTTACTCAGTTACTTCAGTTGACTCTGAAGCTTTAATGTAATATTAGATGTAGCAGCTAATGTTACAATCACATCACTGTGCTTATCAAAGACACTCATGTTGCAATAACGATAAAAATATTATTCATGTTGATGGTTTACTCTAAATCGTCTGACGCCTGAGCATTAGTAACTACAAACCTACAGTTTAGCGCATCTGTCGCACTTTTAAAGATTAGGCCCACCTATCCCTTTCTGGCCTGCTGAAACAGGCTCTTGATCTGGCTTTGTGATTTATGAAACTGGCCACGTTGGGGCAGTGGCACTGAATTGCTCTCTCTCGCATCAGCCACGGTCTCTGCTATGTGAACTGACATGACCGTCTAGGGAACACAGCCGCTGGCCAAAGCTCAGCCGACCAGCGCCGGGCCATTGTGTGGCACAGACATGGAGCTTTGAGTCATTGAGTCATTTCCAGCCACTTGTTCCAATAAACGTTACTCAAGGGTCAGCACTGGGTTTAGCGAAGAATTAGCTGCATTGTTAGCTTTCTATTCCTGTACGTTGTCTAGGTATTCAGTTATGTCAGAGAAACACACAAAGATTGCATCAGGCGCATGTCCTTTGATCGCTGTTATTTTGCCTTGTCATCTGCTCATCAGGATGGCTTTATATTTAGCCACAGTAGTACCTGTCTGGCCCCTGTCCATGTTATTTTGGTTTGTATGGATTAGATGAATACTAATATGGGCTTGTTCAGAGAATGGAAAATAGCTCATTGATTCCTGGTGCAGTTGCTGGAGAGTAACAGTGCTTTTTGAACTCCCAAGTCAGGGCACTAATGGACAGCCTCACCTAGCCTAGCGTAGCTTAATTACAAAGTGCTGTGACACATGCTGTGTCTCTCGTATCCAGTTTTATCAAGCACAAAAAATCTTCGTGTTCTGTTTTAGATCAATTCACAGGACCACATGATAATGTCTACTGATTGTGTAACTCAACTCAGGCAACTGGATGATGAGCAAATAAATGAAAAATATTACATAATAAATGATGATAAATCGAATATCTATCCCCTCAAGTTCATTATTAGATAAACTAGGACACTGTTGTCTCTCCGTGTGAAATGTTGTGATTCTGTGTTGAGGGGTGAAAGGGGAGGGCTGAGAACTCACTGCTGTAAAAACAGTTTACACTTCTCCAAAAAGAAGGCCATGCTGAGATAAAACTGACAAGTAGAGCTGTCTTCATATGTAAAAAAAATATGTACAACTGTCACAATAAAAAAATAAACCCAATGTTAAACACAAC